ATTTGCAGCCCCATATTTTGGAATTAAAAACAATGCAATGCAAAAATAAACAAAAGTGTGGAAGCCAGCAATAGAGACAAATTCCATATGGATATCAAGCAGGTTGGAAGTGAAAATTAATTTTTGGAATGAAAATAATTCAAAATAGATTTTTTATTTGTAAAATTAAAAAAAAGACAACAAAAAACTACTCTGAATCAGGTTCCTTCTTCTTTCTTCTTGTCCCTTTTGAGTAAGTCCCAGAATCTGTTCTTTCTTTGCCCTGTTCAGTTTGTTGTGTCAACCACTCTTCTTCCAGCTGTTTGAGCATGTCTGGGGTGAGCAGTCCTTGCCGCACCAATCTGGAAGCAAGGGATCTCTCTCCTGCATCGCGGCTGGGTGGCTCAGCAGCTTTACTCTCTCTTTTGGTGCCGCGCGTCCTTCTAGCATGGCTCTTTAAAGTTTCTGACAATCGTGACTGGCTCACTGTTGATAAGCTCTGCAAATTCAACAGCTTATGTGTCTCAGAAATTTTAATCAATTTGGTGATGTTGTGCACACCATCTTGAATAATGCCATCTAGTTCTTTCTGGAGGTGTCGAACAAGGCTGGCATCTGGGAACATATCCATGAATCGATAGCTGGGAAGAGGACACATTACATTATGGCAACAGCTCTTATCACAGCCCTTGCACTAATCGCAATGCCATTTACCTACATCTTGCCACTGATTAATCCCAAATGTTCTCTTTTTGCAAACTCTGTCCAGTGCCTTTGCTCAAACTTTATTTCTGCCCCAATATACCTGAGGAATATGTCATTATGAGGGTAGGCCAGCACTGTACCTCAACTGATTCTGACATACTCCCTGAGGGGAATATGCCCCTCCTTTGAGAATCACTAGACTAGAGCAGGGATTCTTAAATGTTGATGTACAAATGAATCACCTGGGGATCTTGTTAAAATACAGAATCTGATTAAGTCTGGGATGGGCCTGATATTCCTAGCTCTAACAAGCTCCCAGATGTCACCAACACTTTTGGCCAAGGACTATCCTTTGAGTAACAAGAGTCTTGTGGACTTTCTTTCTCACCTAGTTATCTTATGTAGAATTGCAAGAACTCCTTAAATCGGTTTTGGAATGGGCATAAACCAGGCTCAACTGCCTTTATGGACAAAACAGACATAATTTAGAGCACCCTGCAAATACATGCCTAATTTGAAACAGGAAAAAAAAAAAAAAAGAAAAAAGAAAAAAAACACTCATAAAACCTTTGATTTGCCCTATTACTCAGAAAAACGAGAGCATACGAAGGAAAAATTTTGGTACCTTAACCACAGGTAAAGATCCAAGACATCATGAACAGCCTCAAGATCCATGAGGTCTTTAATATTCTTAGGGGGCAGTAAAGGCCATTTGATGTATCGGCGTAACCACGCAAAGGTTAGGGGCTCATTCCTGCTATA